GTGTTGTGACAGATCCCTTTGATTGCACAGGACTGACTCTGCTTTCAGCCCCAGTTGATTTAGATCTGTTTGAAATAAAAGAAAGGTTATGTCCCATTTCCTTTTAAAAATTCACCTTAAGGTCAAGTCTATGTAATATCCAAAAAAGCAAATGCACTTAAAAGAGGATACTTTGCTAAGATAACCTTTACAGTAATGCAAATGGTGTGAACCCTTGGCATCAAAAATATATCCTACTTTAATCGTTGTTTTGTCAAATGTAAAATTGTTTCTAAAACCAACATGTGTATCTCAACTGATACTTTTTCATCAGTATTCATAACCTAAAAAAACCCCAACACAGCTTAGACACTTCCTGTTTACAAGAGTATGGATGAAAAGCAATAAAGCACAGTTAAATATCAACAACATAGCTGTCATCTGCTTCTGACTGATCACATTTCGTAAATAAAAGTAGGCATTGTAAAGTGGCTGGTGTTTGTCTGAGCTCAGAGTTTAAATGGAAAAAAGAGGAAAACAAAATAACAATGTTATGTCTGCGTGGGGAGGTGTTACTATACTAGCTTTGTTACTTTGTCACTTGTCTGAATTAACAAAGTAAGCTTCATTTGTACTGTTTCTCACAAACATTTCAGGGTTTAGTAAGGTCAAACAAATGTATATCACACAGTTTAAAGGGGAACTCCTCTGATTTTTCACATCAAAGTCTCTTTACAGGTCTTGGGATGTACTACAGCATATACAAAGAAAAGAGGCAGGCAGCTGGTAGCACCAATTTTGACTGTTTTCTTTTCTTTTTTTTTTTACAGATAATACACATAAATGTTATTAATAATAATAATATAATAATAATAATAATAATAATAATAATAATACATGGTAGTAGTAAAATACATCATTAATTGAAAGAACTGACCTCGTCTCCAATACAGAAGTGGTGTAAGACATCTCATCAGGGATTGGAGAGGGAGGAATATAATCAAGGTCATCTTCAGGCTCTGAGTTGTCATCAAGCTCTATTATCTTTGGGTCAATAAATTTTTTCTTATTGTCTAAAAGGCAAAGCAACATAGTCTTTGTTTAGTGTATAATGACATGCTTTCATGACCAATATCTGCTCCACAATGTACAAATAAAATACCAATGCTGCAATAAACAGTTTTTACCTGCTGTTCCTTTAAAAGGCTCAAAGTCAACATCGTTCTCCTCTTCACGATCACTCATGACAGACTTCAGTTGAGCATGAGGACGTCTTCTGGTATTTTTAATTGGAGAATCCTCAAGTTCACACTCAGCTGGGTCCTGATTCAAACTAGGTCCTGGTGAAACAGCTTCATCGACAGAAAGCATCATCCGTTCATCTGTTTCTATAGATTGTTCACTTCTGGAAAGACCGTTCTTGTTTGCAAAACTGTTGCTTAACTCTGGTGTCATAAGAGAGGCATCATGGTTTAGTTTCCCTGTGAATTGTGCTTTTTCTTTACAAGGAGATGACACTGGATTGGTGCTCTTCCCTGATATTTCTGAACTAAATGAGTCATTTTTCGCTTTGACAGGGGTTTCAAAATCATCAAAATCATCCCAGTCGTCCATTGGGAATCCAAGAGATGCATCCAGATGTGCGGAATTGCCCCCATTGCCACGAGTAAACTGATCATCAGATTTAGTTGGAGCTGTAGTCACCTTAATAGCGGACACTGCTGAAGGAGTCTGGCTTGCAGGAGCCGAGTTACCTGCTGGGCTGATGGGGTCCAACTTGCCTTGTGAACTTACAGGAAAGAAGTTGTTGATTTTGGACTTTTGAGGTCTCTCAAGCTTGTTTGAAAACGTTAAAGGAGATTTAGTCACCAAACTGTTCTGAGGGACATTGACATTCCTGCTTGCCAGAACATTAGAGCTGATTACCTTGGTCCGGACTTCCACCTTGGTTGTACCCGATGAGGACTTCTTCTTGAAAGAAAAGGCTCTGAAAAATAAACCAGTGTGAAATTATAAAAACGTGATTTGTCAGTTAAAAGCATCAGCATCATGCCCATTCGACTTCAGATTTATAAAATGTTAGACGATATTCAAATTCTCTTTTTGTGTTCTTAGAAATGTCTCTTTAAATCTGGAATCAAAAATCCCTTTTTCCCGGTATTGTTTCTTTGTTTTGAATGTCACATTTCATTTTAATGTAAGCATACAGGTACCGGTTGCAGTTGAGGCAGCAGGAACCACAGGATCTCAGAGGTTCAGTGTTCACATCAGTGGTTACAGTAAAATCATTATTGATATGATTTAACATTATTAGCACTTAACAATGTTAAATCAGTGTGTGTAGTGTCTACATTGTCTGTTAGCAGCTGCAGGAAACACAAACAAATATTACTTGGACAGACACTTAAAGACCACATTACTTATTAGGACTATTTGGACTCTTATATAGTGCAGCATTCACTAACTAAATCCATGTACAGTCGACCATTACAGTCTCCAGCAACATTGTTTAATATTGCCTGACAGATTAACTCTCTTCAGGATGAACTAAACGTGTTGACTATTTGCTCTGGGTGAACGAATCCCTTTGGTAGAGAGCAAATACTCGTTTTGCAACACGTTAGTCACCTCTGAGAAAGCTAACATATCCTATCTGTGTTGATAACTACCACAGCTAACACAGCTGACAGCTCAAAGCTAACTGCTAGCTGCTGTTATCTCCCTGCTGTATTGTAAGCTCTAAACTCTAAACTTACCCCGGTTTGGGTTTAGCCAGACACAACTTGCTCTGAGCAGCATTGCTGTGCCTCGCCAGCTGCTCCTTCAAGTTGTTTTGTGGAAGCCCAGACATTGTTGTTGAGAAGCAGAGCTAGCGAGCGTTGGCTAGCTAGCAGTCCGAGTTCAGTTCACGAGGTTGCGGACAGTTTCTTGCAACACTGCTCGCGACACGGGATGAGACACGCGACCGTAGGCTCGAGTGAAGTTTTTTTTTCTCGCTGCTGGGTTGTTTTTCATCCCCGTTCATTAAACTTAGACAGTCTTATTTACTAGTTTCTACCACTACGTCTGCTCTCTGCTGGACTATGAAGTAGCCAGACAACTGATTTAGCGCCCGTTCTACAAACTGACTCCTTATTGGCTGAGGAGGAGCAGTGAGGAGGATTCTGGGAAATGTAGTGTAACAGAATCAGAGCCGTTAAGATATAAGTGTATATAAAATAATATAAATGTAGATTTAATTTGATATCTTAACCCCTTCAGACCCGCCTTATGTTCCAAGGTTGTGACAAATATAATAATGACTTTTTCCCATCCTTAATGCAACCAGAAATGAGAATCAATAAAAAATATTTTTTTTTTATCAAAACTCTTTAATTGTTATTTTTTTTGTCCATTTCAATGGACATCAGATCCAAACAGTTGTTAAAATACCAACATCATATGACAACATCATAGCTATTTTTTGTCTTATAATTGTCACATTGACATCACATGGAACATGAACTTGAACAGTTCAAATTATGTTTTGTTTGTAAGGTCCAAACAGTTTTAAAATATAATTGTTTTCTTTTTCTTTTTCTTTATCTTTTTCTTTTTTTTTTGTTTGTTTGTTCTGCATATGGAATATTTTCAACTGATTATCAACTCATTCTCTTGTTCTGATGTACTGTTTTTATAGTAATAAGGTCATTCATCAATTTTGGCCAATTGAGTTCAGTAACATGGTTTCTGACCCACTGTCCATTCTAATGGACAGCGATATTTGAAAGAATCCTGTGTAAGGACTTGCACTGAAACATGTGATATTACACTTCTATTCATACATTCCATCAAAACTATGAAATCTTGGCACAAATATCTATAAATGTGAGTAAAACTGTTGAAAATGATCCTTACTTCGACGTGTGGGGTAAAGCCCTGCCATGCCTCTCTTCCGTATTGTCCAATTCAATGGACTTGAGGGTTCAAGTGGTGTTAAATGTTGCAAAAAGTAAAAAAGAAGCCCCTGTCATGTGACGTCCATTTTAATGGACACAGGGTCTGAAGGGGCTCTGAACAGAATATGCTGCCAAGATAGCAACGTAATGTAATATTAATAATAATAATAATAATAATAATAAAGCTACAATACTAATAACACAGTTTAATAATAGTTTCCTTATGGAGCGGTCACGCTCTTTCCTCTGACATTTTCAACCACTGGAGCCTGTTGGGGCACCATGACTGTGACCACAACTCTCATGGGTCCTTAAATTACAGAACAGGTGTTACAGGTATATACAAAATGATACATATGCCTTAATAAAACCATTTTTAAGTATTTTGACCACAAAATGATTCTAGGCGAGTCTTGTCTGTTGAATGAATTAGAAGATCAGTAAAAATGGCGTTTCATGTTTGCATTAAAATATATCTTAGATGTCACAGTGTGATAAAACATTTTTAAAATTAGTGTGTGTGTGTGTGTTTACTCTCTTTCTAGAGTTGTTTTGTGTAATCAGAGATAGAAACGTGTCACTTTGGATTATACCTTCTTCAGTCATTATTACTGTAGCTGTCACATTCAGGCATCTTGCAGACAGCTGCAATATATTGCGATGAAAGACTCAAACAAACAGATTTAATAGATTTTATTTGTGAATACAACTACATTTAATACATTTAATTACTGGCACCTAAGTGATCATTTCAGATTTATTGATCAATCTGGATATGACTTTGATCTGTCATATTAGTGCTTACTCCATTGTGCAAAAACCCACTGTACATAGAGCTGGCTACTGATTATAAAAAAAATCACTTTTTGGCTCCCTTTTCAGCCCTTTTGTAGTTTGCTGTCATACAGAAATCACACCTCTGGGAAAGACGAGCAGGCAGCGAGTCCACACATGTTACTCCCACGTTCAATGAGGAAGTATCTGTAAGCAGAGAACCGTGTTATTATCTTTTTCTGGTTGATATACATTCAGTATTTTTTTATGTGATTAAATACAAGACTTACCCGTCAATCCCCCAGGTGGGCCCCCATGAGTTCTTCACTATCCAGTAAGGAGAGCCATTTTCATTTCCGTACCCGACAGCTAACACAGCATGGTTCACCTTGTCTGTGGTTTTATGGCATTCAGTGCTGAAACCAAGAAGAGAAGTAAGTTGAATCCAACTTTATATACATGACTGTTTTGAATGAGGAACTAAACCTCCGCAATCTTGTTTTAGTTCTATTTTAATTCCAGCACAGTGTTTGTGTGTGTCTAGCTTGCATTACTTAAAGAAACATAGCCTTTTTCTTACAGTGGTATCAGTTTACTTAAGGTTATCCAGTTCTGATAAATGAGAGAAATGGTTACTAAGGCAGAAATAGACAATATTTCAATGGTGTAAAATGTCAACTGAATAGAAAGACCAGTCTGTCACATAATGTATAATGTCATTATAAAATATAATCCTTGATGAAACAGCTAAAAAGAGAGGGATGCATTACAAATCTAGCTGTGAGTCAAGATGTTGTCATATTTTATTGAAATGAACATAAGCCGGAAGGACTGTAAAATACACCTGAAAGTTCAAGTAAATGTGATATTTATACTATGAAATTTTAACACCAGGTGAAACAAGACTTTCCCCCTAAGAAAAACAAACTCTGTTTAATGTTTATTAACCATTTAGTTTTGTGTATATCCATGAAATGGACTGCATCTTTGTATATGTTTGTGTAAATGTAGCGGCAATACCCTCCCACTCTTAACCACCACTTTTTTTTTTTTTTACCAATTTACAGTATGAGTGTCAAAAAGCATAATAACTGGCCGAGACATGTGTTTTCAAGAACATGAAAACTTTTCCATGACTTCTCCTCACCTGGTGTACACGCCCTTGGAGTAATGCATGAAGTCAGAGGTCACCTCAAATGCAAAACTGACAGGATTGCGTGTGCCGACTGCATCCACCATCTCCATCTCATTGTACTGTAACAGAAAGACTTCATCACTCACAGGCATTTAATAAAAACATAAGTCTTGAAGAAAAACACTCATGTTCACTCACTGCTGTTATGTTCACCACATCCTTCACAAAAGCTGCTGCCTGCTTTGGTTTGTACACACAGTCACCCTCCTGAATTAACAAAAACAAAAGCCATTAAATATGTTTTAAATATTTCAAAGTCAGTTTAAGATTTGTTTATAATGTAGGATGGCAAATTATTTAGTTACAAAAGCTGTGTATGGGTAGTCTTCTTCTGTCATCAGTCCCTTGTTGTACATGATGTATTCAAATGCTTGACTGGGGAGGCCGCTAAAAGCCAAAGCCAAAGAGCTTGTTATAAAAATGTGTCTGCAGTGGTGCACACAGGAAATTTATCAAAAGAGGAAGGAAGGAAATTCATGTTGGCTCTCACCCCTTACATCCATGGTTGTTGAAGTTCTGGGCGCAGTCTACCAGCTGTTGTTCTGACTAAGTATAGATAAAAATGAGTTACAGTAAATACTCTTTACCCTACTATCACAAAGGAACAGCTATTATATACAAGAGCAGCAGTTTTAATAGAGAAGTGAAAGAAAGTCACCAGTGGTACGAGCTTCCCAGTTTTGATAGCGATTACAGACTCCAAACAGCCGGTTGTGGAAAATGTCCAGCAACTGCCACAACCTCCCTTTGGTGCAAATAAAACAAACAAACAATAAGAATATTTCTGAGTATTTTGTGAGATTAAATGAAAGTATCACAGTTGAAAAAGCACAGGTGGAACTAATAACATTAACAATGGCACCAGTCCAAAAACTAATGCAAAGCAATGCAGCAGTTAATGATATTATAGTAACACCTATAGAAACATACTACAACACACTAACTGTAAACTGTATGTATCCTTATAGTTATCAGTTAGAAACTCTTTGAATCTGCTGTGTTACCCGGCAACAACATAGGGTGACCTTTGAGATCAGTAATTGAAAATAAGATGTGCGTGTGGATTAAACTTTACCTGATTCTTCACAGGTGTCACATAATTTCCTTTCTTTCTCCAGTCGATGGAGTCTGGGTGTGGTCCGTTGCTGCTGAGGAAGTTCCCCCTGGTAGCGGAGCAGTTCTGGAAAAGGAAGTAAAATGTAAAATAACTACCCTCGCACCACAAAAACAAAAATGACTTCCTGTATGGATGGCATTACCTGTGGCTCAGACCAGAGGAAAGTCTTTCGAAATTCACCAAATGTCATGTCTGAAAACTGGTTCAGCCTCACTGCAGGAGGAGATTAAAAAAAGGGTCAACACATTTAACTATGAAACATATGAAAAGAATAGTAAATGCAATAAGAAGCCATTCCTACTTGTGAAAGAGTGATTTCCTTCATTGTGTTTGTCAACCCTCCTCTTGTTGTCACTGAATATCTGGAGTCTCTCATAGTACTCCTTCATGTCGTACATTTTGTTGTGCTGTACATTGGAGAGAGTGCTGTTAACTTTAATTATGCGATCAGTTTATAAGCATGTAGCTCACATTAGAGCTTCACTCTTATCGTTAAGTAACACTGTAGCTGTGGTTTTTCACTGCAGGTAACTTCCTCATAACCACATACTGTATATGTTACACAACGTGAGATAAAGCGATATAACCTACCTGCACCATCCATGATTTGAAGTGAAACTCGTCTGAAAACAATTCATACAGTAAAAACTTTGAGATTTCAACAATAAGAACAAACAAACAAAAATGTAAAAACTTAATTTTGCAGAATATGAAAGTGAAAGTTAAAGCACGCAGCTTACCTTGTTCAATCACATGAAAAGCTGAAGCTGCTGACAGTAAAGCAAACAAAAACAAAGTGTTCATAATGATCACTTATTAAAACTTTCAGCCGGTGACACAGAGAGAAGAAAAGAAAGCGGAGTGAAGCAGATCACGAGGTGAACTGCTGCCTATTCAGAATTCCCCTACTTAAAAAAATAATGATGACTGAATCAACCAATCAGTGTCAAACATAATACCCATAAGCTTAAATAGTGTTTTCTTTTAGTTGACCTGCAAATCTTGAACCACTATGATGACCTAGCCTACATAATAAAGTACATAAGTTAAAGCTGCAGTAGGTCATTTTTATTAAAACATTTTTTGTCATATTTGTTCAAACTTACTATATTCTGACAATATTACATGAGACAGACAATGTGTTAAAAAAAAATCTGGTTCGTCTGCCTCCTTGTTGCGCTCCTAATGGCATTTGCAATTAATTAATTGATTGTTGAGTCTCACTCCCAAGTCGGCAAACCTCATCTTCAAACCTCAAACCCAAAACGTCTTTATATCTTTCTCTGCTCTGATTGGCTGTTCCACTGGATTGTTGCAAATACCATTAGGAGCACTAGGGGGAGCCAGAGGAACCAGATTTTTTTCACAGATTATCTGTTTCATGTACTACTGTCAGGATATAGTGAACATTTCACCAAATATTACAAAAAGTTATTTTTCCAGAAGTTGTCCATCATTAACATCATGCCAAAGGCACTTAATTTGTTGAGGAGCTGGTATTATTTTAGGTTAATTTTAGATATCACATGAGACATGAAACATGTAAGGAGACAAGGACTTGCTTTGGTCAAATTGCTTAAAAGTTAGGTCAGGGGTCATTTGATATTTTTTGGATACAATAAGCAACAAAAAAACTTCATCAAGTCTGACTTGTAGAGTAATATTTTAAAATAACACGACATAATATAAAAAATGGGTGAAATGAAAATGTTTTTGCTTAAAGGATAAAAAACTTCTTGAAGCACCAATGTCCTGCTAGTTCTCCTTTAAATGGCACCAGGGCCAAGAGTCTCACTCTTACTGTTGGTTGAATAGTTGTATTTTATTTAATTAACAAATGTTGTGTTTAATCAAACTGCCTCAAACTCTAACTGCCACAAAGAAAGCGGGGAGGGAGAGAAAGGGGGCCAGGAAGTATTTCAACATTCGAGTACAGGTTGGTATCTGGGTATATAATAAATTGTTTTTCCTCAGGGCAGGTTTATCCAGCCATGTGTAAATGAAAACATTAATATGATAAATTTACATTTAAATATATAAAAAATAAAGGAGACAACAAACCCTCAAATTAAGTGGTTTTCACTTTATCGTCTAACTCTGTGACACTGACAAGTGACTCATTATATCCTCGTGCTAACTCACCAAGAAAGATTATCTGTTTTAGCATTTAACTACAAGTAACAAATGTATACTGTATGGCATTTGTGGAAACTTTGAATTTTGAATTTGTGTTTTTTTGGTTTTTCAGATAAAGCTGGGACTTTACACACATCATCACTTGCTAGGACAGAGAGATGCTGATGTTAAAATACTTTCAGATTATATTTTATTTCATACTGAGCGAGCATGATGTCAACTGATAGATGATCTACAAAAACACTTGAGACAAAATGCCCCTGATATAAAATGGATTTATTAGCAAGAGGTAACTGGGAAACATGTTTGTTTGTTTGTTGTTATTACCATCATCATATATTTTCTTTTGTTGTCTTTTCATTTGTTTTCTTACAAAACTGTGAATATTTCTTAAGGTGTGGAAACATGAGGGCTGAAAGATAATTTTCATACCACTGGGTATTGCTAACAGCAAAAGGTTTATTTGTTTATATACCTTATAAGAGTATGTGCATGTATAAGTGTATACAGTATAAGTATAGAGTATTATTCTGTATGTGAAGGTGTTGCATGCCTGCCATATGAGCTTCAAAAGTGTACTGTACATACATAGTAAAAATACATACAAATATTCACAGAATAAGCACTACGTTACTATATTCCTGCTAACAGAAATGGTTATAGACAGGATTACAGTATAAATGCAAAACACTTTGATGTTATCTTCTGCCTCTAAGTCATGGTTTCAGGACCACATTGTTGTAGCGTTTTGTGTTTAAGCTTGAGATACAACTTTTTTTTTTTTTTTTTAAGGATTACACTGTTCCACATTGAGAAATATGCAGGGTTGCATGTACAAAATGTACAGCACATCGCAGTGAGGTGAATTAACAACAAAGTACAAAATACTTTCCCATGTTCATATAAAGAGCAGGTCACTCTCTCTTATACTACTACAAAAATAGTGTTTGAATGCTGCAGGCAGAGGTCATTCACATATGTTTTATCATAGTTTTTAAACAGCAATGCATATAACAGAGTGATATACAGTCACGTTCCACAATCACTGGAACAGCAAAAAGGACAGATTGTCTTTTAATTACAGAAGAGCAACAACCTTTTACTCTACATAGCCTAAGTATCGCCAAACCTGAAGGTACAACACCATTCCATCGCATTTAATCTTTAATTTTTTAATGATTGATGATGATGACTAATCTTTCACTTTAATTCATCTAAAGAAATCACTGTATGTTGTTACACAGCTTATAGCTGATTATAAAATAAACTGAGTGAGTTTTGTCGCTTTATGTGACAACAGGCTAAGAAAGGAGCATATTGCTTTACAACAAATAAAAAGACACTTAAAATTTTGTCAGTTTTAGGTGAATGAAGACACGCCTTAGAGCCGAGGTTCCCGACCCCTGTGGACCGCTACTGATGCTCAGAAAATTTGCTACCCGGCAGCGAAAAAACTGTGTGATTCTGCTGGGGAAAAAAAACCTAAATAATTATAAAAGGATGTCTGTTCTGCAGGTTTCATCACTCCCTGTCACCTTCTCAACAACAATATACTTAAGCCATGCTAGTGGCCTGTCAGTAGATCGGTCCACCACTTTGATCCTCGTATACATATTTCAACAACTATTTTATAGATTGTACTGAAATTTGGTTCAAATATTCATGGTTCCCAGAGCATAAAACCTCCTGACTTTGGTGATCCCCTAACTTTTCCTCTGTTACCACCATGAGGTTCATATTTGTGTTTTCCACTGAAATTGAACTGTTGGATGGATTGCCATGAAATTTGATACATTCATGTCCCTTTCAGGATCAATTCTAATAACTTTGCATAATAACTTGCATCTAGTGCCATCATCTGGTAAAACATTTTTATTGGTCCAATATTTTGCTTTGTGATCAAATACCTGCAAAACTAACAACATTCCCACCAGCCTTTGTGTTTAGTGGTAATTAGCAAATGTTAGCATGCTAACACACTAAACAAAGATGGTGAACATGGTAAACACAAGCATGTTAACATGCTGATGTTAGCATTGGGCTCAAAGCACCGCTGTGCCTAAAGTGAAACCTAACAGAGCTGCGAACATGGCGGCAAACTCTTGGTCATGTTAATCAAAGAAGGTTATGAGTATGTGAGGTAACATCCGGCATTAGCACATTGAGCATTCATTCAGTGTTAGTTGCTTTGTTTTTATTTTCTAAATTCTAAATTTTCATTTAGTTCTCATCCCCTTTTTGTCTGATTGGGCTGGTCCACAATGACATAGCCATAGATGGTCTGCAGTGCAAAAAACAGTTGGGAACCCCTGACTTTAGAGTAGTGAGCAGAAATTAAGAAACAAATCCCTCTAGTTTTGGTTTGGGAAGCACAGGGATAGTTATGCTTCGGATACCTGATGTCTTCTCCACTGATCATTGTTCCTTATCTTTAAATACAGCTATATTCTCTTTGCTCTTTTACCTGATTTGATGCAGTTACATTTTTACAATGCTACATTGGTTGCAGTGAAACTCAGTCATCGATAAAACTCAAGCAAAGAGAACAACGGCCGGCAGCACGGGCGCTCAGAAAGTGCAAAGTCGACACAGTATGAGATGATGCAAAATAATGTCATTGGTCACTAAGAAGGCACAGCTGTGTACAACCAAAGTGACCTCTGTTATTATGCTTGAAATATCCCAAAGAAATGTTGAAAAAAACTCATGGCAACAGTAACAAACAGAAAATATACACTGAAAGGTTTTGTGTCATTAAACATCTACTGTACAGAAGAGCAAATATCTTAAACATGTACAACTATACAAAAGTTGATGTTAACTGATGTGTGATATTAACAGAGAAAATAATGTGGTGGACCAACTTCCCAATCAGTTGGGCACCTTAGGCTCAATTCTGAGTGAGGCTTCGTACATGCTTTCTTCATCCAGAACAAAGCTATTATCCAGTAGATACTGGGCTACCTGAAACATGAAGAAAAGACAGGCATGTTTAAGGAATTTTGGAAACATATTAATTGCATTATAAGGACATTCATAAGACAAGTTACTACATATAGCCTTGATATGGCTTCATAAAACTCTTTATAAATGTTTTTAAGCATACATGACAACTAATAAAAAGGTTTATAATGTATATATAAAGTATGTGTGGGTGGTGTGTGTATATAGTTAGAACATTCTTGCAATCTAAAAAGTGAGAAAATTCTTGCCCTGAAGAGGTTACAACAAAGGTCTGAGTGGTCACAAGACGGTTAACAGCATAAAAACATATTTCTGATTCACAAATTCTTTTCAAATTACTGGATAATTTAACTTCTTCAAGCTTCTGAAATATATTAAAATAAAACAAAACAAAAAGGAATAATAACTCTGGTTGAATTGGCCACAATAAGTCACATACAGTATATAACCTTGTAGTGGGGTCATAAGTAGACAAAGCTTCTTTTTACTATTTCCATCCTGATAAAGACCCTTTAAGGTCATAATTGTTAGCTTTTAAAAGCAACATGTCTGATGAAATTAAGGCTTTTAATATAACTTTTCTAAGAGTGCCTAAAGAACTTAGCCTCTGCATTTGTTACAGACTTAGCTTTTACCATATATAATTTACCTTTGGTTGCAGGTCAATCTTGTATGCTGTTTGCTGAAACTGCCTGATTTCTCTGATGATGTGAGAAATCTGAAAAACATGAGAAACAGGATGTTAAATTCTGACTGTAAAACACACATTTACACTAAGTCTCTCGTGTGACAGGACACTGAACATCTCACCATTCTCATCTTTGAGAAGTTGACCAAGTTGTCTTCGGTGTAGTTTGGCGTTCCCTCCTCGATGAAAGCCAGGTCAGTGAGGTACATCCCAAGATAGGGCACGCAGGGAGGATCACAGCTGATGGGAAAAAACACACACATCATCCACTTGTACAGTACTGCATGTTTGCTATATTGATCCAGTACAAACTATGTCCTTGAATTAAACTCACTTCTTCAAAGCCTCTCTCAGGTTTTTGAACCTCCCCTCTGATGAGACCAGCTTCTGCAGCTTGTCAATCACTGCTTTTGTCTAGAAGAAAAGGTTACCAAGAACACAATTAATAATAACATTAGATAAGAAGAACATTAGGAAGAAAATAACTAAACAAACAACACATCAGGAGATACACACCTGCTTGGAAACCTTGAGCCAGGTCTTCTTGAGGCGGAAGACAGAGCTGCGGTTAAGGGAGGAGGTTATCTCGAGCACGGCGTTGTAGTTGTGGAGACAGCGACAGATGTCAGCTACAGCCACCCATTTCTCAATGACCGCTACTCGAGTGACCACGTCCTCACAGCGCAAGATCTCTGTGGCAATAAGGTTGCTTATCTTGAAGAGGAAAAAGAGAAACAAATGGATTACACTCAACACAATGTTTGACAATCAATACAAGTTATAGGGGATGACTTTTGACTGGAACATACATCATTGAAGTGCTTTGTTGTTCTCATGATATAAGGTGTCTTCTCGTTTTTGTCATTCTTCATCCAGCCTTGTCCAAAGAATTCCCTGTAAGGTGAACAGATTAACAGAAGGACAAAGTGAACACTGAATTGGCCTGAAGTGCGTTATTGTTGGTCACAAACAGCTGAGGTGTGACGGCACTCACTCATACGGGATGACCTTAAACACCAGGTGGTCCAGCAAAGTGAGCTGTTCTGCAATCTCCAACGCAGAGTGGCTCTCAAAGGGATCGGCCTTACCTCCTTCCACCTAGAACACGCAAAACAGCCAGAAATTATTAAAACTGTAGCAAGCAATTCAACACAAAATGGCAGGTACTGTACATAAAAAACAGAACATAAATACTCAAAAATCTGTTAATTTGATTGTTGGTAAATTGCATCAGAATGCTCATGTTTTTAAAAAAAATGGTCTATCTGTGATCAGAAAAATGATGAGAGGCATAAATATCTAACTGCTTGTAAGGCAAGATTTTTTTAGACTGGGTAATGGTTCACTGTTTAGATTTTTCACTCTCTTTTGGTAAAGAAATGTACATACAAGACTTCAGAATTTCAATTAAGTGCTGAAAATCTTCTTCTCAGTTAATGTGGATTAAAACTGAAATTATTGGTCGATTAATTGCATTAGTTAAGAAAAAGCAGATCATATGGACCAAATGTTTAATCGATTAATTGAGAAAATTATTATCAGATGAATTAACATAATAATGAAAATAACTGAATGAAACGCTCTTCTCCATCATTGCCCCACATTATGCTCCAGGCTTACCTGCATAAATGAATTTGCATATTTCTTTGACAATCTTACTTCCTGCTGCTTTAAAACTGTTCCACACAGTAACAGTCACTTACACAGACAGCAGACCTCACTCACCAGTTGTGTCACGTCTTCAAGGGTGATCTGATTGTCACCATGATCTTCCTGAGTTAGAGTCCTGACAGACAGTAAAGGAGAAGGTCAAGCTTTCAAGTATGTACTAGTGATATAACATATCTTTTAAATGTTGGGTTCGCGTAATAAATTGTAGTCTTACGATCAAACGTCACATAACAGTACCTGATGATGTTGGCTGCAGCTTTCCTCTCCTGGGTCAGCAGCTCAGGGTCATGCATCACTTCCTCCAGGAAGGCAATAACTTTTGTCTTCAGCTCATTGTTACTCTCAAAGTCCTGGAGAGGGATAGATAGCACACATATTGATGGCTTAAAACTATTGAATAATTACTTTTAGTAATTCAGTTTCAGTTTGAAAAGAGGGAATTAGTTTAAACTAGTTTGTGAATATATGACCATAACCAATAATAATATAGTAGTGTTATGAACTAAATGTGCCTTGACTTGTGTTGGTTGATGATTTACCGGAGAGTGTTTGGACACCCAGTGCCTCAGGACATTCAGGACTCTGTTGGTCGCTGCTCGTCTGATCACAAACTCTTTGTCTCCATTTCTCTGATCTGTTGGGAAGCCTGCAGAAAATATATTAAATGAGATTTTACAACAAGCTCTCATCACTATGATACATACAGCTTTGGCAACAAAGAGCAACCAAGGTTGAAGAATAAACCTGACATGGTGCAATTTTTTAATTCTTAGCAGTCTGGTTATGTTAATCTGTAACTGAGACTAGACTAGAGTGGACAGTTGTGTATACCAGTGCTGGCGAGGGACATCCGCCGATATTTTTCCTTGGTAGGTGTTCCCTCATTGGCTCCAGCTGTAGCAATAGCAAAGGCAGAGGCAGCAGACAGGGCACTGCGGTTGTTATCCAGCTCTCGACACGAAGACATCACCATGCCATTGTTGTAGGAAAACAGGGAGAACTCTAGAGGGAGGCACAAGTTAAAGAGAAAATAACCCTCTGGAAACTGGCAAGAGATTGATTTTGGTGTCATGTAAATTAAATTGGTGGTCAGTCTGAGGATACACATAACAAATGATGAGTTTTCACATTATATAAAGCACAAAATGTACATAAATCTGTTGGTAAAATGTTATTTTATATTACTTATAGTAATAAGTAAATATAATATATAGTATAGTATAACTGAATCTGTACAGACTGCAGAATCTCCTGCTTGTTGTTGTGCAAGCCTCCACTAGGAGGCACCACAGGCCAACACAACTGTTTCCCTCCAGACTTTCCTTTACAAGAGGCTTTGATATTCAAGATGGTTGCAGCTAAATATAGCCACCAAATATCAGCATAACAGAGGAATCAACAGATTCTCTGCAGTCTGCTATGTTTAAATCCTGGGAACATAGACAGATCATAAACAGCTAAGAATCCTACACCAATGCGAGACACTCTCTGCTTCATAATTTCTGTTAATGCTTTACTTCCCACAATATATTCTTTTAAAATCTATTGTTTTGTCATACGATTTCAAAGGCACAGATAATCTTGGCTCCAGTGAAACAGCCTCATTACTGGGGGCGGAAGGGAAAACACGCTTTTGATGTAGTTGCTATGACACAAGTGTCCCTAACACCTACTTTAAGCCAAGCATTGGCTTTCCCCACATGATCATAACCATCAACCAATTTATATTTAACATGAATTA